GGCTAAGAGCTTACTGTTAGCACTTGATAAGGGATACTGAGGACATCCAAAATCATGGTAGATGGGGTAAAACAATGGGATAAAATCCACATGCTTCAGGGCATGACCCAGCACTAAGTGACAGGGGTCAGAAAGAAACTTCCCCTATGGGGCAGGTCACTGTGTGTCCCCCACCATCATTCTTGCCCCGTCCTCAGACACACTTGGCATTGGCCGCCATCAGAGATCACTGGTCTGATCCAATGTGGTGATTACGATGTGCCTAAGTGTGGCGTGCTGGTGACTCAGCTAGCAATGGTGAGCAATATATAGTCCCGTGCACACTGGGGCACTCCACCGTCTCACTCCTTGCAATCCCCATGCAGTCAGGGGGTTGCACAGGGTATAAATTGGGGCACAATGTGTCCCGTTGTAGTTCCTTCCCCGCTCCCCATTCAAGCTGCTGCTCACTTCCACCCCCTACCATGTTCTTCAGCCTGCAGGCCCTATTCCCCTGGTCCCAGGGGCGGCTCTAGCTTTTTTGCCGCCCCAAGCACGGCAGGCAGGCTTCCTTTGGCGGCACTCCTGTGGGACATCCCCGGTCCCGCGGCTTCGGCGTACCCGCTGCCGAATTGCCGCTGAATCCGCGGGACCGGCGGACTTCCCACAGGCAAGCCGCCGAAGGCAGCCTGACTGCCGCCCTCACAGGGACCAGCAGGGCGCCCCCCGCGGCTTGCCGCCCCAGGCACACGCTTGGAACGCTGGTGCCTGGAGCCGCCGCTGCCTGGTCCCCCCCGACTCTCCATATCTTGTATCTCTCTGCAGCACCTCCATACATATGTTCTGTATTTCCAGCAAGGAGGGATGGGAAGGACTCACCAGAGGCCCTGCAGAGAGGCAGGGTTCACTTACCTCTAGGGCTAGTACGTCTCTCAGACTCAGGATGTTCTGCCTGAAGCACTTGTGATTCTCCAACTGCGGAGCCGGGGGGGGGACAATGAGCCAATTCGCTACCTGGCATATATGTCCGTGCAGCAGCTGAAGGGGCCAGTACTCTACCAGGCACCACAAGTTCCATGTTGGACTTAAAAGGGCAGCCACACCCCGGGTTCCATCTGCAGTGTCAGAGAGAACTGCCTGTGGATACGCACCAGGTCCCTTTCAGCAGAGCCTGCTGCCAGCCCTCCCCACCTCGCCCGCTGATGAAACCCTGCTGTCCCCGGGCAGCCCCCTCGTGGTGCCATTTATATTTAAAGACCGCGTTTAAAATAAATTTGCTGCCAGAAGCGATCATCGGGAACAGGCCAGGCAGGGCGCACGCCACTCCCCAGCTCTGATTTATTCAGAGCGATGCCTTGTAGAGTGCTACTCTGTTGTCTCCTGGAAGGGATTTGATTTGGGCTTTGCAGACATGGGGATGCAGGGGACGCGGTGCCGGAAATCCCAGCCCTGCTAGCAACAAGGAGAAAAAAGTTACTTCATGAACTTGGCAAACCTGTGGCTTCAAGAGAACAAGGAGGACTGGCTCAGAGCTCTGTGCAAATCCAACTGCCAAACAACACCGGAATCTGGATGTGGGGGTCCTGTATTGGAGAGGAAGCTGGAGAAGAGGGTGGCTGAGGTTCTGCAGGGTGGAGAGCACCTTCATTGGGCAAGAGAGGTATTTGCATTGGGGAAGGGGCATGGTCCTCAGCGCCTGTGCTTGTGGCATAGTGCTGTGACTTGGCCAGCCCTGTTTGGGTGGATGGTAAGCTTGAGAAATGCAACACAGTTGGCCACTGTGGGCCCTGGCACCTACTTCCCAAGGAGCTTTTAAGCACCTTTGCCACATACAACTCTCCCGGGCAAAGGGAGACTTCAGGACAAGCGCTTCCGTTGGCCTCACTCTCCCTCAGCACCGTGTGCATTGTCATTGGCTGACTGGCCGCTGAGTTGTCTTTCCTATGGATTCAACTGGACGTGCCCAACAGGCACAGTCGTCCTAGCTGTTGCTATGTGTTATTTTTCTTGATGCACATAGAGACAGGCAGATGTTTTCCCATCTGTGTTCCATGCATTTCTCAGGAGCGACTCTGATGCACCCAGGGACGACGTCCTTGCTCCAGAGTGTCTCAGAGGTCACGTGGGACCCTGCCAGTGAAAGATCAGAGCAATGGCTAGTTTGAAGTGCTGCATGTCAAATGCCATTCTGGAGTTCCAGCCGGGTGGGTGTATCGTGTCCCCCCAAGCGGGAGAGCCTCGTTCAAATCCCAGGCTCGAGCCCTAGCTGTTTGGGCTGGCAAGAGATAGGAGCAAGCATAGAGTGGCCATGGGAAGCGAGGAGCTGACATGTGATGTCTTGTCAGTGGGGAGGGCGTCATGTGGAGACACAGGCCAAAATTGTCAAAACGGGGGGCTCTGATGTGGAGTGCCACAGTTTGTGGGGGCCCGGCCTGAGACCTCTTGAGCGGAGCACCCAGAACTCTTATGGGAGTCAGGGGGAGCCAGAGGGTGCACAGGCCCCTGAAAATCAGGGCTCAGGTCAGGCAGCCGGAAAAAACTGAGGCCCCAAAATCAGAGGCTGCTTTGGAATATTTTGGTCTATGGCACTGCTGCCCCCTGCTGGATGGAGTCCAGCCTGCCCGAGTGTTTTGTGACTCATTCGCTAGCACAAGCTGGGTAGGGGGCCACCAGACCAGAGCAGGTGGCGGTGCCGGGAAAACGCAGGGCTGAAGAGAGGAGCGTAGTGGGTGGGGAACTTGGCTGCAAGACCGCAGCTCAGGGAGAGTCAGGCGATGGGGGCGTGACTCCCCAGAGCTTGAAGGTTTGGTTTTTATGTTCAGTTTATGAAAATACCCAGCGGCCCCTTGGACTAGGGTGACCAGATGTCCCGATTTTATAGGGACAGTCCTGATTTTTGGATCTTTTTCTTATATAGGCTCCTATTACCCCCCACCTCCTGTCCCGATTTTTCACACTTGCTCTCTGGTCACCCTACCTTGGACTTGGGAGGCATTTATGCTCTTAACTCTCTCTGAAATCAATGGGGGTTCGGTACTTCGATACCTTTGAGGATCTGGGCCTTCGAACCCTACCAGTACTGAGTAGCCAGTGGGCCATGGCCTAATGCCTGGAAGCAGAGCACTCATCCAGAACGAGGTTACCTCTCCCCAGCCCTCCTGGCTCAGGGCTGAAGAGTTTCCCACTCCCACCCTCCAGGGCCCACATATCACCGCTATCCTTCCAAAGCTAGAGGCAGGAATGTTTCTCACTGGGGGACTGGGCTATCGATGTTGGCACAAGCTAGCTCCCTCCTCTACAGATGGCCATGTGCATTTCCCACCCCCACCTACCCAGGGAGCAAGAGGCCAGAAGACGTGGCCACTTCTCCAAGCGTCTCTCACGCTCCCCCCGTTCTCCTGAGCGTGGCACTTCCAAGGCGAGCTGTCCGAGTGACCGAACGGGCCGGGCTGGCGTGCGACAGGAGGAGACGGTAGAACAAAGCATCGGTGTCATCTGCTCACTCCGCCAGCCAGTTCCCCAGCTAAGCGGTAGCACGGCACAACCGAGGCCTCCGCTCAGCTGTTTCCTCTTGACCCGAAAACGCCCCAGCCAGTACGATCCCGGGAGGAGGAGGCGAAGTTGTCATGGCGTTGCCATGGCAACGGCACAGGCAACCTTTCCAGCTGAAACCTTTGGCTTCGTCCCTTCTCTTTTTCAGCACGTCGCCTCGTGCCCCGCACCGGGCGCCGTCCGCCGTAAGGCGCTAACGAGCAAGCAAAGCCCATTACCTCTGCCGAGCGACAGTCACCGTGTGCACGGGGTCACGGCTTCCCTTCAGCGGCCAACTACCTGGCACTCGGTTATTTTAATAACTAACCAGCAGTTTAGAGCCGCTCCAAATGAAAAGCAGACACCTTTGGAAAGCTCATCAGGCTGACCCCCGGGAGGGGGCATATGCCAATTTTATGCAGCGCCTCCTGCAGCAGAATCTGACACCTATGCAAACAAAGGGCTCCAGAAGGAGGAATTAAATATAGTGGGGGTGGGGGTGGGGGTGAGAGCTGCTGGCAGCGTTCTTGGGGGCGGCGTGGGGTAGCATGGGCCAGCTTGCAGAGAGCCTCCTGTCTAAAACGATGCTGTCTGCCTGGCCTCACTGAACGGAGCAGCGTGAGAGCGATTGTATGGGGGATTCGTGGTATCCCACTCCAATAGGAAGAGGGGGAGGGGGAAGGAAAGGTCAGACGAGAGAAGAGAGAGAAAAGGAACCAGAGGAAAGAACAATAAACAGTGGGGCTAAACAGCGATTGGGATTCTTTATCTGTGGAATTGTTTAAGGGCCCAGTCCTACCCCTGTTGCAATCAGTGGGAGTTTTTCCATTGATTTCAATGGGAACCCTGCATAGTCATTCTTAACGAGTCTCTTTTCTATCTTAAATGCCTCATGGACTTGCCCGTAGGAGTGAATGGGTGACTCCTTCTATGTTGGGCTTTGGTATCGAAATATGGAGGTTTTCCTTTTTAAAAAAAATATTTTAATTAAAACGTGTTTGGTATTAACCTCTAATGTTGTCGGAAACATTTGATTTGCTTTAGTAAGAATCTAATTTAAATAAATATGTTGTTTAAAAAAATCATTGCTTACCAAGCGGTCCTGAGCGGGACGCTGAGCATTCGAGTACCTGTCTATCTATCTATCACTCATGCAGGCATCTGTCTGTCTAGCTGTCTGTCTGTCTAGCAGTCTTGTAGGCATCTATCATTCATGAAGATATCTGTCTATCTATCAGTCAGTTTGACAACTGTTATCCATCTATCAATCATGTAGACAGCTGTCTGTCCCTCTATCACTCATGTAGGCATTTTTTATCGCTACTATATCATCTGGGCATTGATCCCACACTTTTCCTCGTGGTACTGCACCACCATTCAAGGTATGACTATTAACCTATATGGGCTACTCACTATGGCAATGTTTGTCTCAGTTGGCGATTCAATGCTGTGCTGACATCCATTCTCTTTCCCCTCCTGTTTCTCTGCAGTTGCTCCCAAGGGCCCCAAAATCATGATGACCCCAACGAGAGCCCGAGTTGGAGACACAGTTCGGATCTTGGTGCATGGCTTTCAGGTCTGTAGGCTTTTTATCCTCCTAGCTCAATAGGGCCTGCTTTCGGTTGCACTGACAGATGGTAATACGTCTTCCTATGCAGATTTATGAAGACTGGCAAAGGAGCAGATTGGGGGTAGGGGGAGGGGTTTAGTTTAGTTTGACTTTAGGATTTTATTTTATTTTTTTCCCCAGCAATCAGGCCCTCAACTGAGCTGCTAATTTTGTTTGCAGGTTCTGCGATTGCACATGCAAAGCAGGGACTTGCGCATACAGATGGGTAACAATGGCAGTTGGCTTGCAGAGTTCCTTGAGTTGCATGTCCACTCATACTAACTACACACATAAATAAGGCGTGCAATTCCTCATGGATTTTGCATGCTCAATTACACCCTCAACTCTTGAAATTGGCTCTTTTGTCTCTCAGTTCGAAATTGATTTGTTGTCACTTGGAGTTTTCTCCAATAGAAATCACTTCACTAAACAAAGGCCCACGCTTCTCTATACCTGTGGCCTGGCGTATTTATTCTGTAAATGAATAATGCAGTAATTATGAACCTAGCTTGCGACTTAATGGCACAGAGGTGGGTGCTCTCCCTATAGACTAAATATGTGGCTTTTACATCTATGGGATATCTTAACTAGGAAACAAGTTGTGTTCTTCACTCCTTTTGGCTAACACAAGGGAAAGTCCTAGTGAAGAGAAGGCAGTTTGTAGTTTTAACACATGTTGGCAGGTCGGGCCAATGCTTTGACCTGCTAACGCCTACAATAATTACAGTCTGCCTTGCCTTCGCTAGGATTTTAGCTTGTTAGTTACCACATGTTAGATGATCCCAGTTAAGAACACAGCTTTTTTTCCTGGAGCAGACAAGCATTAAGCTCTAGTATTTTGTTATTATGGGACAGATTCTCTATGGCCTGACACCTGGTGCAGCCCTTCTCATTTGTGCAAAGGAGTTGTGAAGCGCCCCCCCCCCCCAATCTTCCTCTCGTGGGTGGTAGCATGTCAGACCCACCCGTCATGGACAGACTCAAGATGCAAAGCACTGTAGAACCAGCCGCTGTCTGTGCATCCAGCCTGCTGCCTGTTGAGTTTTTAGTCTCATGCCTTTAACGGTAAATGACTTGTGGAGGATTTGAGATCTGCTTCATGCCTTTGTATCTGCGCCTGCCTTTGTTGTTTTTACAAGGCTAACCCAGCTAAGCAAAGTCTAACCATGCCAATTAATGTATTCGTGCCACAGAGCCTTTAAGGGTACGTCTACACCGCAGTAAAAGACCCGCAGCACGGCCGCGGCTGGCCCAGGTCAGCTGACTTGGGCTTGCAGGGCTAAAAATTGCAATGTAGACATTTAGGCTTGGGTGTGGGCTGGAGCCCAGGCTCTGAAACCCTGTGAATGGGGTGGGTCTCCAAGCCGTGGCTCCAGCCTGAGCCCAGATGTCTACACTGCAATGTTTAATCACAGAATCATAGAATATCAGGGTTGGAAGGGACCTCAGGAGGTCATCTAGTCCAACCCCCTGCTCAAAGCAGGACCAATCCCCAACTACATCATCCCACCCAGGGCTTTGTCAAGCCAGGCCTTAAAAACCTCTAAGGAGGGAGATTCCACCACCTCCCTAGGGAACCCATTCCAGTGCTTCACCACCCTCCTAGTGAAATAGTGTTTCCTAATATCCAGCCTAGACCTCCCGCACTGCAACTTGAGACCATTGCTCCTTGTTCTGTCATCTGGTACCACTGAGAACAGTCTAGATCCATCCTCTTTGGAACCCCCTTTCAGGTAGTTGAAAGCAGCTATCAAATCCCCCCCTCATTCTTCTCTTCTGCAGACTAAATAATCCCAGTTCCCTCAGCCTCTCCTCAGAAGTCATGAGCTCCAGCCCCCTAATCATTTTTGTTGCCCTCCGCTGGACTCTTTCCAATTTTTCCACATCCTTCTTGTAGTGTGGGGCCCAAAACTGGACACAGTACTCCAGATGAGGCCTCACCAATGCTGAATAGAGGGGAATGATCACGTCCCTCGGTCTGCTGGCAATGCCCCTACTTATACAGCCCAAAATGTCGTTAGCCTTCTCGGTAACAAGGGCACACTGCTGACTCATATCCAGCTTCTCGTCCACTGTAACCCCTAGGTCCTTTTCTGCAGAACTGCAGCTTAGCCAGTTGGTCCTCAGCCTGTAGCAGTGCATGGGATTCTTCTGTCCTAAGTGCAGGACTCTGCACTTGTCCTTGTTGAACCTCATCCGATCTCTTTTGGCCCAAACCTCTAATTTGTCTACGTCACTCTGGACCCTATTCCTACCCTCCAGCGTATCTACCGCTCCCCCCAGCTTAGTGTCATCTGTTTAGCCCCCACACCTCCCAGCCTGAGCCCCACAAGCCCAAGTCAATTGACCTAGGTTCTGAGACTTGGTGCTACGGGTTTTTTTTTTTTATTGCAGTGTAGATATCCGGTAAGTGCTGAGCACTAGCATTTCAGGGGTGACTTGGGGCGACCCATGCCATCACCTGGGGGATCAGTGAAGTTCTCAGGGATCTTTGAGGTCAGACTATCAATGGTTCCCAAACTTTCCTGGTCCATGTAGCTCCTCCTTAAAAAATTATTGTGAGGTGACTGGCTGGAACGTCAAGTTCAGATATCACCAGGGGTACCAATACCACCGTTTGGGAACCCTTGGATTAGAAGATCTAACAGTCCCTTCTGGCCTTAATATCTGACTCTGTGGATCTTTGGGAGGAGGAAAGGTGCTATCTGCAATGCCAATGATTAACTCTGCGTTAGTATCAGAGTGGTCAGCAGAGGTTGCAGTAATGAAAATGACTCTGTTTTATTAAAATGACCCATCTATTTAAAGCTGTTTTCCCCATCTTGGCTGCAGAACGAAGTCTTCCCCGAGCCCTTGTTCACCTGGACCCGTGTTGGGAGCAGGCTCCTGGATGGCAGCGCTGAGCATGATGGGAAGGAGTTGATCCTGGAAAGAGTGCCAGCTGAGTTAAACGGCTCCATGTACCGCTGCACTGCTCAGAACCCACTGGGGTCCACAGACACCCACACCAGGCTTATAGTGTTTGGTACGGTAGAAGAATCCTCCTGTGTCCCACATTACTCCAGCTTGTTCACAATGTCCTCACTACCCGTGACCAAATAGAAACTGGCTTTCCCTTTGGCCTGGCCATGCTGCCTTGTCATTTGCTGTTTGCGACTCCATGTGTGACTGGCATTTTGATTGTACGGACGTTTGCCAGCGGCACATTTCAGGCCCTTAGCTGAGAATAATCATTAATATTATTTATTTTACAGCTCAAATAACTAGCCCAGGGTCCCTGTCCTGAAAAAATTATGATCAAGAAATGACATTTGTGGGAGTTGTTTATAATGCATATGGGACAATAATTCATTATTTTGGTTCTCTGCCAGTTCTGGGCAAAAAAAATTCATTTAAGATCAACTGAAAACACATTTTTTTAAATTTTTGCAGAGAGGGACAGGGCTATCCTTTTCATACATTGGGCTGCTGAGAGACCACGAATAGAGAATCAATGTTAACCATTGTCCTCCCCGCAGCATGGAGACTAGAAAGAGTCTAGAAATGAGAAAGAGACAAAAACTCTTGAGTAAAAAATCCAACCTCAATTCCTCTCTGACCTGCAGTCAGGAGCCGCTATAGAGATGAGATTCTGTTCCTGCTGCCGAAACTCAGAAATGAAAGAAAATCCAAACAGTCGGCGCTGCCCAAGATCATCCTTTTTAGGGTTTCTCACTTCGTTGGGCACCGATCATTGATTGACCCTTGTTATCGAGAAAGGCAGAGTGCAACAGTGGTGTGAAAGAGACATTAGCTTTCTGACGAGATAAATGTGCACTTAAAAGGTCCTTTTGATGTTATCCATCTGAAATTAGCATCTAATTCTAATTAGTATCTATATATATTTTGTTTTAATTAGAAAACCCAAATATTCCAAGAGGAACAGAGGACTCAAATGGTAAGTTTGGATCCTATACTGTATTTCATCATAAATTACAGCTAATTTCTGAGTTGCCTCTGGGGTAGATGGAGAGAACTGAACACCTCATGTTCTTAGAAGGCCATGCATAGATAAAACTGTGTGCTTAGTCTTATGGCCAAGAATCTTCCATGCCTCAATGAACCAAACATTTTCTGACAGTTTATAACCCTGGGGTTATAACCCCGGAGGGTGCGAGACATTCCAGATTTTTTTTTTAGAAGGTAAATCATCGAAAACACAAATTAAGCACAGGCACGTAAGTACAACTACTTTGTTTCGTCAAACCTATGTATTTATTAACATCACACATTTTTTAACGATTACTGTAATATACAAACCAAAAATATATCTAGGTTTAAGAGGTGCGAGAACATATTTTGAGACCCAAAGGGGTGCAGGCTGCAGTAAAGGTTAAGAACCACTGGTTTATATTATGATCCGTAGTGTTACTAATCAGCTGGTGAACCACTAGCGGTCAATAAGCTGCAAGACAACCTATGCTGACTATGATGGTTGTTCCTCTGTATAGACAAAGAAGTTTGTTTTCACCATCATCACTTGAGCTGGTCAAAAAAAAATTCATCTAAACTTTTTTCCAATGAAAAAAAGTAATTTTTGACAGCATGGAAGTTTATATGAAAAACCTAATTCCATTTTGTCAATTACTTTTTCAGGTTCTCATTGAAAAAACAAGACTCAAAAATTGAGGGCGGGGGAGGGATCAATTTTGGAGTTTGTTTCCTGATGAAAAGCTGTAAAATTTCTCAGAAAATGAAAATTTTGGGTTTTCATCCAGATTTTTCACAAGGGGGGGAAAAAATCATTCCTGAATCAGCTCTCCTCCATTCTTACTGCAATCTGCAGTATTCCAGCCCCCGGCCTGCCTTTTCTAGCACAAATTACTCTGCTTCCTGGAGTAGTGTTCACTCCCTACCCCGAGGCATTGTGGGCGCTCTCCCCATAAGAGCAGGTGGGGAGTTTTCTGACAAAACATTTTTTCGTCAGAAAACGTTGATGCGTCAAAGCCAAAACTGTTGGCAGTACAGGTTCGGTTTCATCAAAACTCCTGCTTTGAAAATTGGGGGGGGGGGAAGGGGGAGTTGAAATTGTCAAAATGGGACGTGTGTTGACATTTTCTAAACAAAAAGTTTTGTTTTCTAGTTCAAAACTACTTTAAAATTTCAAAATGAAATGTATAGCAGAAAAATAAACCAAAAAGAAAAGTCAAAACTGACATGGAACATTTCAAAATGATCTAAAGAAGATGCTTTGATTGATCTGACCCGAAAACCGTTTTGGATTTTTGGTTTGGGACCATGTTTAAGATTTTTGACTTTTCATCCCAGTTCAGGATGGGAAATTTTTTTTGAAAACTCTCATGAGTCGAGAAAAGCATTTCCTGGCCAGCTCTACATGGAGCTCTTTATGCCAGCAGAGAATTTGCCCCAATAAGGGTTGTGTCTAGTTCTGACACCGCTAAATTTGGCCCTGGTAGCCCTGGGGATGGTGCAGGGTATATTCAAGTGTTGGTAGGGATTCTGCCCTCCACTGACTTGGTTTTCCTACAGCACAGACACCTCCTCTCCCGCAGTGTTTAAACTGCACTGGTTTGGCACACCCAGTGAATGCCAGATCAGTAAGCAGCACAAGTTACTGCTGTGTATCACTTACAACCATTTTGCAACTATCGTATCTTAGCATGTCAGCACCTCAGGGCAGGGCTCTGGGCCAGATTCTGATCTTGAACCAACCACTACGAGAAAGGATGATCTTGTGGTTAAGGGACCTGACTGGGATTTGGGAAAGCTAGGCTCAGTTCCTGGCTCTATCGCACACTCCCTGTGTGACCTCAGTTTCACCGTCCCCAAAATGGGGATACCAATGCCTCCATTCTCCCACCCTTTGTCTTGGCTGTTCAGACTGTAGGCTCTTTGGGGCCAAGAGTGTCTCTCGCTATGTGATTGTAAAGCCAATGGGGCCCCAATCTCCGTTGGGGCCCCCAGCTATTACCATAATACAAGTAATGAATATTAAACTCCATTAGCATTGGTGGGAATCCAGATTAATGTCGCTGAAATAGTGGAGTTACTCCAGATTTACAGCGGCATGACTGTGATCGGAATCTGGTCCGTTGGTCTGTAAAGCACTATGGCTGGTGGGGGAGGGATAGTTCAGTGGTTTGAGCATTGGCTTGCTAAACCCAGCATTGTGAGTTCAATCCTTGAGGGGGCCACTTAAGGGTCTGGGGCAAAATCAGTACTTGGTCCTGCCTAGTGAAGACAGGGGGCTGGACTCAATGACCTTTCAAGGTCCCTTCCAGTCCTAGGAGATAGGATATCTCCATTAATTTATAAAAAAAATAGGTTAGATAAATGTCTATCAGGGATGGTCTAGACAGTATTTGGTCCTGCCATGAGGGCAGGGGACTGGACTCGATGACCTCTCGAGGTCCCTTCCAGTCCTTGAATCTATGAATATATAGAGATCTATAAACAGTCTCTTCGTTTGCATATAACTACAGGACACCATTGGTCACCACATCGCTAACCCTAACCCTTCCTTGTTTTGTCTAGGTTCAGTGACCAGCCACAACGGCTTCAGACTAATTTTGATGCTCACCCTAACAGTGATCCTGGAGCTGACGTGAAGGCTTGCCTCTTCCTCCTCCTCCTCCCTTGAACAGCTCCACCCAGCATTTACATCTCCGTCAATTGGTTTTCTTTTCTTTTTTTTTTCTTTTCTTTTTCTAAACTATTTACAGTCTTGTTCTCGGTCTCTTTCTGTCTGTGTCTTGGCTTCCTCAGTCGATTTAATTAAAATGAAAAAAATTTCCCCTGGTAAAAGGCAGTGCGTATTATTTGCCATGTGCAATCCTTGGCCTATAGAAAGGGCAATCTGGTCCTTGCACATGCAAAAACAAGAGCCGGTAATTACACACAAAAGCACATACAGGGAATGCATCCAGGCGCATATTTTGCAGATGCAATTTAGGAACCGGTGTTGGCAAAAGTCACCCCATCTAGCCATACAGAGGCAGAAAGTCTAATAGGGCTGGGAGCGAGGACAGCTGGGTTCTAGCCCCAGCTCTGTCACCTATTCTGTGTGACCTTGGACAAGTCGTTTTGGTCAAAATTTTCAGAGGTAGCCACTGATTTTGGGTTCACACCCCAACGTTCCAGATTTGCTGAGATCCCATTGATTGCAGCTGGAGTTAAAGGTGCTCAGCCCTGGGGACAATCAGACACCAGGTGCCTTACGTTATTTACTCAAAAGCTGTGGCCACTTTGGAAAACTTGCAAACCTCTCTGCCTCAGTTTCCCTCACTGCAGATTGGGCCAGATCCCCCTGTTCCATAACCCCATTGCTTTCAGTGGAGTTACACCAGGCGTGATATACTTGGCTTGAAATCAGAATCTGTTTGCTCCCCTTAATGCTTGGTCTTTGGGCTCTTGTGAGTAGAGGAGAGCAAACTAATGGTAGCCAGGTGTTTATTTAGTACAAAACAGAGGCCAATTCTAAGGCCAAGGGCAGATTCTTTAACCCTCGGTTGCTGAGTGCCCAAGTTTGTACATATTCCATGTGCTTTTGTTGTTGTTCTTTATTACATTTCTGATGTTAGCCCCGGCAAAGGGAGAGCTTCATGGGAACCTGTTTTCCTGTCTCATGAACATTTCTAATGTATAGAAAAGTGTTCCCGAGGCAGAATGACTAACCAAAATCCTGAAAATATTTGCAAATCAAAAAGGCCAATTTTATTTATTTATTTATTTGTTTGTTTTGGTTCTGGGCAATCAAAACATTTTGTTTTCAACCATTTATTTGTATATTTTGATGTGTTTGTTTGTTTTGTTTTCTATAATTAGCTTAAGGCTCTCAACAAAACATCCTTTTGACCCAGAAATCCAGACTTGGTTTAGAAAAATGGCGAAACAAAATATTGACAGTCGACAAGCTTTGGTTTCAACTTCGTTTTAGTCCAAAAATAAAGTGTCACACCTGGCCCTTTCCCACAAACAATTTCAGTTGGAACAAAACGGCATGTTCTGATACCAAAAAAAGCGAACATCATTCTGGGATGTATTAGCAGCAGAGTTGTAAGTAAGACACGAGAAGTAATTCTTCCGCTCTACTCTGCGCTGATTAGGCCTCAACTGGAGTATTGTGTCCAGTTCTGGGTGCTACATTTCAGGAAAGATGTGGACAAATTGGAGAAAATCCAGAGAAGAGCAATAAAAATGATTAACGGTCTAGAAAACATGACCTAGGAGGGAAGATTGAAAAAATTGGGTTTGTTTAGTCTGGAAAAGAGAAGACTGAGAGGGGACATGAGAACAGTTTTCAAGTACACCTCTACCCCGATATAACGCAACCCGATATAACATGAATTCGGATATAACGTGTTAAAGCAGTGCTCCGGGGGGGGGGGCTGCGCACTCCGGCGGATCAAAGCAAGTTCGATATAGCGCAGTTTCACCTATAACGCAGTAAGATTTTTTTGGCTCCCGAGGACAGCATTATATTGGGGTAGAGGAGTATGTAAAAGGTTGTTACAAGGAGGAGGAAGAAAAATCATTTTTCTTAACCTCTGAGGATGGGCTTAAATTGCAGAAAGGGAGGTTTAGGTTAGCCATTAGGAAAAACTTCCTAACTGTCAGGGTGGCTAAGCACTGGAATAAATTGTCTAAGGAGGTTGTGAAATCTCCATCATTGGAGATTTTTAAGAGCAGGTTAGACAAACAGTGGTGGCAGATGACAGAACAAGGAGCAATGGTCTCAAGTTGCAGCGGGGGAGGTCTAGGTTGGATATTAGGAAACAATATTTCACTAGGAGGGTGGTGAAGCACTAGAATGGGTTCCCTAGGGAGGTGGTGGAATCTCCTTCCTTAGAGGTTTTTAAGGCCCAGCTTGACAAAGCCCTGGCTGGGATGATTTAGTTGGGAATTGGTCCTGCTTTGAGCAGGGGGTTGGATAGATGACCTCCTGAGGTCTCTTCCAACCCTAATCTTCTATGATTCTATGAACACCTGTCAGGGACGGTCTCGATAATACTTAGTCCTGCCATGAGTGCAGGGGACTGGGCTAGATGACCTCTCGACTTCCCTTCCAGAATCTATGAAAAACATTTCATGGGGCAATTCCCAACCCAGTCCGCCTGACGGCCCTGACTAAGATCAAGGTCCCATGGTGCCAGGCAGCGTACACACATACTGAGACAACCGCTGCCCTAAAGAGTTTACAAACTAAATAGTCAAGACAGACAAAGAATGGGTGAGCACAGGTATTATTAGCCCCATTGTAGCTGAGATTAAGTGGCTTGCCCAAGGTCCATGACATGAATGGCAATCCCCTGAGTCCCAGCCCAGAGACTTAAACACACAGCTACCCCTTCGCTCAGCTCCTCATCCACTGGAGACAATGGGTGACATCATAGTTCATAGAATATCAGGGTTGGACGGGACCTCAGGAGGTCATCTAGTCCAACCCCCTGCTCAAAGCAGGCCCAATCCCCAGACAGATTTTTGCCCCAAAGTGGCCCCCTCAAGGCGTGAACTCTCAGCCCTGGGTTTAGCAGGCCAATGCTCAAACCACTGAGCTATCCCTCCCCCCACCAAACATCTTAGCCAGGCTTGAGTGCTGACTTCATTAAATAGCACTTTAGCTCCAGGGACGGTGACCAGATGTCCCGATTTTAGAGGGACAGTCCCAATTTTGGGTGCTTTTTCTTATATAGGCACCTATCTCATCACCCTAGATCCAGGACAGCTGGAGGTAAATCCTGGGCTGGAGATTACTGCATTCTGGCTCCAGCCTTGCACTGCACTGTCTGCAGGCTGGTGCCAACTAAACAGATTGCAGCGCTAACACATGCTTAGCAGGATAATAAAATAAAAAGCACCCGCTAGTCCAAAGGGAGGGGGGAGGGGAGCACCAACAAAGGTCACTTCCTGAAAACTCATTTTAATAGGCAAACAAAATGCCTTAATTATGCTCCAGCATCATTTATTCATGACGCCTCGTTCGGGGCCCTGCTCGGAAATGAATATTTAATTTCCTTGTTCTGACACCTGCGATTTTTTTTACCCCCCCTTGGTTTTGCTTAACTGGGATTTGCTGCTTAATCACATGGCTGTTTAAGCTCGGGGGGGTGGGATTTAGTGTTTTCCGCGCGCAGCCCGGTTCGGCGCTAGCAAGAACACTGCAAACACGCCGCGCTTGGGGAAAAGCAGTGAGGCCTGTAAGATTTTCCCTTGTTCGGCTCAAACACAAACTGAATATTTATTATTGGCGCAGCAACAAACAACGCCTGGCTTTTTGCTCGCAGGAGGCAATGAGTTTGGGGTTCCCCGGAATCTCTAGTGCACCCCGGCGGGGATGGGGGGGAATAGCTTTTTGTCCAGCTACAAATAGCCAGAGACGCCACTCAATGCAGTGCTCATCTTCTATCTTGCAATACGTCGGCCTGATCAATGGACACGCACCCATTTCCTTCCTTGGGCACTGGAATAAGGCCTCAGCACAGTCATGCTAGACCTCATGTAGATGTGGCAATGCCAAGGGGTGAATCCTCCGTTCTGCCTACTAAATGCTGTATGCTGCTTAGCTGGCATGCCAAAGACAAGCCGCTTATGACGCCACTTCCCTGGGGTTGGGTTTATGTTGTTCCCATCCCAAGCCTGGTTTGGAGCAGCCCAGGGACTGCTCTAAACTACACTGGCTTGAACTAGCTCGTTATAACAACAGGGATCACAAAAGCCCAACATGACGCCATATAAGGCTGGCTATGCTGGCCGTGGCTCAACCAGGGAGTCTCCCACTCCAGGGGAATCCTCGGCAGCCCATGGATGGCAGCTCTCAGTCCCCTTTACATTAATGGTGTGGCAGAAAAGACCTTGGCATGGAGCAGAATCTAGTCCTGTATTTACAGATAGCACCAATCCACCCATTAGAGTCAGCATTCCCCTCAGCTATGGGATTACCTCACCCCATAGCGATAAGGTGAGGGGCTCAGAGTCCGGGTGATGGGCTCACTAGAACACCTTGACTGGAATGGAATAGAACATGCAGAACTGCTGAGCGTAATTAGATACCTCGTAAAGTTTGTCTGGAATGTAGCCCGCTGAGCAGCATCATATAGAGCAAAGACACCCACTGTTGTATTGTGGTGAGGCAGTCAAGCGATTAGAAAAATTAATTGCGATTAATTGTGCAATTAATCGCACTGTTAAACAATAATAGAATATCATTTATTTAAATTTTTTGGATGTTTTCTACATTTTCAAATGTATTGATTTCAGTTACAACACCGAATACAAAGCGTACAGTGCTCACTCAATATTTATTGTTGATTACAAATGTTTGCACTGTAAAAAACAAAAGAAATAGTATATTTCAAGTCACCTCACACAAGTGCAATCTCTTTATAATGAAAGTTGAACTTCCAAATGTAGAATTATGTTCAAAAAATAACTGCATTCAGAACTAAAACAATGTAAAACTTTAGCACCTACAAGTCCACTCAGTGAACAATCGCTCAGACAAAAAAGTTTGGTTACAATTTGCAGGAGATAATGCTGCCTGCTTCTTCTTTACAATGTCACCTGAAAGTGAGAACAGGCAAGATGCGCTAAAGATTCATATGTCCCTTCATGCTTCAACCACCATTCCAGGGGATGTGCGTCCATGCTGATGACAGGTTCTGCTTGATAACAATTCAAAGCAGAGCGGACCGACGCATGTTCATTTTCATCATCTGAGTCAGATGCCATCAGCACAAGGTTGATTTTTCTTTTTTGGTGGTTCGGGTTCTGTACTTTCCGCATCAGAGT